CAGAAAAAGAAACACACGATTCTACGCTTACATCTAACAAGTGTTTGCTGAGGGTTCATCTCAGAAGGTACCATGCTGGGGCCATACCTCTCAAACTGTCTGTGGTAAAGGACTGGGGTTTTGTTTTGTTTTTTAATTATTTGCAACCTACTGTCTATGTGGTCTTGGTACACCTAACTCACATGCAACTTGTACCACAAACATGTGACATCAACAACACCCAAGCTTTTCCGTTCTCTGCTCAACAAGACAAGTCTACTTATGTTGCCTTAGGATGCTGTGGCAATGAGGAGTTGTCATGAGAATTTCTAAATGCTTTTGCTCCATTTCCGGTCTTCCTGCTTTAGCTTTCTACTGACCAGCGGCAGACAGTTCATGGACTGCACCATTCTTAAGCTTCACTCCAGGAATTAGGCTGCAAGACTAGGGAGTGGCTGTCCAACAGTAAGACAGTCGAGTGTGTATATGTGGGAGCCGAAATCTCCAGTTTAAAACACTCTAAAGAAGTATATCTGGGTAGACCCTTAGCAGACCTAGGCTCTAGTTCAGACTTTCCAGCTGACTCAATGTATAACCGCTTTTTCCATGTGATTGACTTTCCCCTTCAGAAGATGCTGGATTTGTGCCAGGCAGCCACTAAGGACCCTTTCAACTCCCAGGGGCCATGCTCTCTTCAGGCACACAGCTCCAGAGACAACCTACATGCCCATGACTCACTGACATCTGCAACCTCTGCCCCTGCATGCCCAACCCAACACCAGAGCCATTCATCCAGACATCTGGATATCTCCTAGACATCTCAAATTTGAAGTGGGCCCTGCCCCTTGAAGTCTGTCCCATATCCGTTAAGACCAACTCTATCCTCCGGTTGCTCAGACCAAATACCTTGGAGCCATCCTTGACTCTCCTATCTCACCGTCCACTGCTGGCACGTCAGTAAGATTCAACTCTCCCTGTTAAAATATATCCAAGACTTAACTACCTCTTATCCCCACTACCCTTATTCAGGCCACCGTCATCAGTGGCAGTAAGTAGCTCTTAACTGGCTCTGGTTCTGCCTTGCTGCCCATTGTTACACAGCAGCCAGAATGATGCTGTCAAATCTCAGGTCAGGCCACTCCTCTGCACAGAGCCCTCCTATGGCTCCTGCTTTATTCAGAGCCAAGGCCAGAGTCCTAACTGACGTGCAAAGCTCGGCACAGGCTGGCTCTCTGCTGCTGCTCTGACCTTGTTTCCACCCTTCGCCTCCTCATGCTCTGCTCCAGTCACGCTGCTTCTTTGCATGCAGGGCCTTTGCATGTGCTGTTTTCTCTGCCCAACATGACGTTCTTTCATTCCAGCATGGCTGACTTCATTTCCTTCAAGAGTTACCCAAAGGTCTCCCTGTACTCCTCACATCCCAGCATCCCCAGCCCCTACAGTTCATATCCCCCTTTCCTGCTTAATCTTTCCCTCCTTAGCAGTTATAATTATTAACAACTAGGACTTACCGCATATGCAGACTGTCTCCCCAGCCAGGATGTAAGCTCCTCGAGGGCAGAGAGTTTCATCTGTTTTTCACATACGTGAGCTCCCCAGTGCCTCCTACGATGCCTAGCATAGGGTGCCGTCACACTAACTCCATCCTCCATATACTTGTGGAATGAGGAAGGGAGTTCTGCTCTAGCTGTCCAAGGCCCTCAGGTCACCTCCCTTCTCCACTTGGTCATCAGATCCAGACAGCAAACACCTCAGCGTGTAAGGGGAAGATTCTGGCAATGGGGAAAGAAGGCTGTCTCTTGTCTCTGGGGCAGTCTCAGGAGGGAACTGTGGAGAAGTCCACGTCCACTTTGCCTCCCTTAAATCCTCACCACTGACCTGGCTTCTAAAGCTGCTGCTTTGCACCCTCATCTCTGCAAAGGAAAATACCCTCAGGATGGGGTTTGTAAAAGTTAATCCCATGTAAACCCTTCAGCTGTTTACCTGAATCCCATTTAATCTCCTATAGAGATACCTCTAAATCATCTGCTCTCAAGGAGTCGGGGATAAAGAAAAGAGACAGCTCTTCTGAAGATGTCTGTATTGCTCTTGCTGCTGGGAAAACAAGTTTGAATTTCTGTCAAGAGATAGAAATTCAAAAGCCACGGAGCAATTTTTTATAGTCCCCTTCACCCCTAACCACAGGTTCCGCGGAGCATGTCATCTGCAACAGGTAAAGGGTTTTATTCATGTAAATATTCCTCTGGATGAAGATCCTGGACCCCAACTGCAGTTGCACGTGTGAACCTGCATGACCTTCCATTTGTGCTCACCAGGGAGGGCGTGAAATGCTATTAAAGCCAGAGCCATACACAAATGAGACTTCCTTCGACAGGTGGGACCAGCAGACCACGCCAGTCACTGAGGGAGGGGCTTCCATCTCTATGGTTAACAGAGGTGCCTGCCCTCTCAGTTCCCACATGCACCAACAGTCCTAAAAGGACCAAAACACCCTGGAACTTTGGAAGACAAGCATTTACAGGGTCCCTGGAGCAGCCACTGCTCTGAGAGACCTCTTCCATGACATCCCTGACAACCACACCCCGCTGTTTGCCCAGAAACTTCTGGACACAGGTGGGGACCAGGCATTCACTCACCATCTTCTGGGGAACCCGTTCCTTCCGAGTACAATTGGTCCCACTGGGGTTTATGACCTCCAGACATCCAGGGTCTTTGTCATCACTGAGCACTCACTATGTGCCCAGTATGTTACTCACCTCGCTTGATCACCGCAAGTGAAAGAGAGAGAATTCGCATCCCCACTCACAAGTGAGGAAATCCAGATTTAGAACAGTTAAAGAAGCTACCTAAGGTGACATGGCTGAAGGTAACCAATAGAAACTGGATTTGAACAAAGTGTGTCTGGCTCCAAAAACTACACACTTGACCACAGGCTCTTCCCCCTTGACTCCCACTCACCACATACCTCCATACTTTTAAAACTGATTTCCTGATGCTCAAGAGAAATGGACTGAAATTTTGCTCTGCATGTCTGATAAGAGAACAAGAGAAATAGAGATACCAACCGTGAAACCCCTGAATGTGAATTCTTTCATTAAAGAACATCACTTAAATGCCCAAATCAATCACTGATGTTAAAATACAATGACTGAGTATAAAGAGGTTCCCCCCAAATTATACTTTTAAAACAGGTTAGCATCTTGAACACCCACACAAACACTGGAGCCCTCTGCTAACAGCTGACTCCACAGAGGATCTTTCTCCTTGAGGGCGGTCAGACCCCTTTCCAAGGAGACCCTCACCCCAAGTCCTCCCTGAGTTGCAATCTCTGTCTTGGGTTCTGCATTTCCAGCAACCTGGTCAACCAGCAGGCCTCCTGACTTTCCTCCCCAGAGTAAGTAGAATAATACTTGAGAGCTGTTTAAAAGAAAGGAGTCAGAGGAGAATCACTTGAACCCGAAGGGCAGAGGTTGCAGTGAGCAGAGAGCCCGCCACTGTACTCCAGCCGGGGCAACAGAGCAAGACTCCATCTCAAAGAAAAAGAAAGGACTCAGATGTGAGGAGCCCTTCAGAGGTAGCTGCAATGGGCCTGATGGGAACAGGAATCCAAATGACCTGCCTTGCAGGGAGGAACACTGCAGGCCAGGAAGGAGAACAGTTTATCCTCGGTCACCAAGCTCCTCCATAGAAAAATGTAATGGGGCCAGATGCAGTGGCTCACCCCTGTAATCCCAGCACTTTGGGAGTGCAAGGTGGGCAGATCACGAGGTCAGGAGTTTGAGACCAGCCTGGCCAATGTAGTGAAACTCTGTCTCTACTGAAAATACAAAAATTAGCCAGGCGTGGTGGCATGGACCTGTAGTCCCCACTACTTGAGAGGCCAAGGCAGGAGAATTGCTTGAACCTGGGAAGCAGAGGTTGCAGTGAGCTGAGATCATGCCACTACACTCCAGCCTGAGCAACAGAGTGGGACTCCGTCTCAAAAAAAAAAAAAAAAAAAAAAAAAGAAAGAAATGGACCTTGGGGTCAGACCACCCAAGAGGATTTGAAGCTGGCTTTACTAGGTGTGCTCCCTTAGTGAGCTCAGCCTCTCTATGCTCAGGACAATGGGAAGAAAAGTTGTCTCTACCTCACGTAGGGTTGCTATGAGGGGAAAAACAGGGAGCATGTGTGAAAGGCTTAGCACAGTGCCTGGTGCTAAATAAATGGTAGATTTTGTGTTTATTATCATCATTAGCAGTATGTTGTGATTTTCATTGTTGTGAGTGATTACTAGTAGTATTACAATCAGTTTTAACTAGGACAGAGAATGGATTCCCTCATCTAATCCTCTTTTCCCTGAGGACACAGCTGGAATGCACAGTACCTTGGTCATAAGGACAGTAACAATGGTGGCTAACATTTAGTACAAGCTGCATTCTTCTAAAGCTATTCATGAATCTTCAGTCATTAATATCAAGTTACTGATTTTTACATTTGAAGTATTTAGCCAAATATTTTACAAATTGTTTCTCAACTATTTCTATCAGCTCCTAAATTCAGCTAAAAAACAGATCACCTATCACAAAGAACCCAGAAGTTCAACAAAACCCATGCACCAAATGAACTTTCCTTCTTCACCTGACCACACAGCTTAAACCACACAGCTGGAAATTCAACCAGCTATTTTTTAATTATTTTTATTTTATTTTATTTTATTTTTGAGACAGGGTGTCGCTCTGTCACCCAGGCTGGAGTGCAGTGGCGTGATCGCAGCTCACTGCAACCTCTGCCTCCCAGGTTCAAGAGATTCTTCTGTCTCAGCCCCCCAAGTAGCTGGGATTACAGGCATGCATCACCATGCCTGGCTTTTTTTTTTTTTTTTTGTATTTTCAGTAGAGATAGGGTTTCCCAATGTTGGCCAGGCTGGTCTCAAACTTCTGACTCAGGTGATCCGCCCAACTTGGCCTCCCAAAGTGCTGGAATTACAGGTGTGAGCCACCCGGCACAGCCCTACCAGCTATTTAAAAGGCAAAAGTCAGCCAGGCGCAGTGGCTCACACCTGTAATCCCAGCACTTTGGGAGGCTGAAGTGGGTAGATCACGTGAGCTCAGGAGTTCGAGACCATCCTGGCCAACATGGGGAAACCCCCATCTCTACTAAAAATATGAAAATTAGCCAGGCGTGGTGGTGTGCTCCTGCAATTCCCGCTATCTGTGAGGCTGAGGTGGGAGAATCACATGAATCCGGGAGGTGGTGGAGGTTGCAGTGAGCTGAGATCTCTCACTCCAAACCTGGGCGACACTGCAAGACTCCATCTCAAAAAAAAAAAAAAAAAAAAAAAAGCAAAAGTCCAAGAGGGAAAAAGGGGCTCAACAGAGTCGGGACAGCAACTACTCATACCTTAGTGTACCTTCCTTCCTTACCTAAGATGGACTAAATGCTCTAAAAAGGGGTTTTTTTGGACAGGAAAGGGGATTCTGGTGTTCAAGACTTTGGGGCAGATGCTCTTAACCCCAGCTGGGCCCTAGAATCACCTGGAGAATCTAAAAAAATGCTCCATATACACCCCCCAACCAAACCAGACATGGGTCTTTTCTGTTTTTTGTTTTTTAAAGCTTTGCAGATATTTCAGTCTGAAGCCAGGACTGAACCCACCACTCACAGGAGAAGGCAGTCCAAGAGCAGTTCAAAAGCTGTGACCATGAGGGGCCATAGGAAAACCTGGCTGGAATGGGGTATCAAAACAATGATACATCCTTTTTTAAAAAAAAACCTCAAGTGGACTTCCTGTGGCCAACTAGGGAGATGTTTAGGAGCCCCAAAACAAGTGACCTGGGGGCTTCCCAAGGGGCTGTCCTGCAGAAGTGAGGAGGTAGGGTGGAAGGCCCCCACACGAGGGCTCCATCAGATCTTCCCCTTTCACAAGGATAATATACCAAATTCAACTGCTATATGCCAGTAATGACGTTGAACTTAAAAACACATTAGCGCACATGTCCGTGCACATGCATACACACCGCCCCCACCCATGAAAAGACAAAACCCTCAGGTATAAATCTAACAAAAGATGTACAAAATCTATAGCAGGAAAACAAAACCTCTGATGAAAGAAATCAAAGATCTAAATCAATGAGGCGATATTCCTCCACTGAATTGTAAAAATAAATTCTGAATCTCTCATCCTGATGACTTTCACAATGACAGTTAACAGAAAAATTCCCCTAAATAAAAGTAGTCCCATGGACTTTCAGTTACAAATAAGCAGCTCAGGTCCTCTGCCCCTGTCAGCTGCAGCGGGGAAGGAGGCCCCGACATAGGGTTGCCAGGTGAAATACAAATAACCTTGTAGTATATTCCAAATATTGCATGGAATATACTTTAAAAGTTTAAAAATTACTCAGTTTGGCTAAAGTTCAAATTTCATTGTGCCTCCCAGGTTTTTATTTGCTGTACCTGACGACCCTATTCCAAGGCCTCATTGGCAAGGCTTGGAACAAGAAAAAACAACAAACCTCGTAGGTGTATTTGGTGCTTGCCATTTTCCAATGCCTCTTCTACTCTTTTTCTCTCTGGATTTTGCTACCTGCCTGAGAGGAAAGCAGGACAATCATTCTTCAGCACACCTGTTCAGCCCAGTGAGGCTCAACCCCACTGCGTGGTAGAGGCACCTGGGAAGCTGCCGAAACAACAGGCCAGGAGCTCACCCTAAGGATTCTGATTTAGCTGGCCTGGAGTGGGACCTGGGCATCTTTTTAAAACAGTCTATCATGGAAAAAGTTAAAGAAGGCAGACAATAAAGGATAATGAACCCCAAGAGTCCCAATCACCCAGCTTCAATAATTATTAACACACAGCCAATGTTATTTCATATACCAGTGCTGTCCAATGGGATTTTCCACAATGATGTAAATGTTCTATATCTACACTGTGCATTATGGCAGCCCCTAGCCACGTGTGACTACTGAGCACCTGAAATGTGGCTGGTGTCACCATGGAACTGAATTTAATTTTTTTTCAGTTTTAATTAACTTAAACAGCCACAGGTGGCCAGTGGTTACATACTGAACAACGCAGATCAACACCCTCACCTGCTTCCCTGCCATTATTATTTTGAAGAAAATCCCAGATGTATATTATCTCATCCATATCTTTTAAAGCTTTCCAGATGATTCAAATGTAAAACCCCAGTTGAAAAGCAATGACCTGCTGTTTTAGTCCATTCGTGCTGCTATAACAAAATATCTGGGACTGGGTAATTTATAAAGAAAAGGAACTCCTGGGCACAGTGGCTCACGCCTATAATCCCAGCACTTTGGGAGGCTGAGGAGAGAGGGTCGCTCAAGCCCAGAATTTTGAGACCAGCCTGGGCAACACGGAAACTGTGTCCCTACAAAATATGAAGATAAATTAGCTGGGTGTGGTGGCATGCACCTGTGGTCCCAGCTACTTGAGAGGCTGAGGCAGGAGGATTGCTTGAGCCTGTGAGGTTGAGGCTGCAGTGAGGTGTAATTGTACCACTGCACTCCCACCTGGATGACAGAGTAAGAAGAAAGAAGAAGAGGAGGACAAACAACTTATATTCTCAGAGTTCTGGAGGATGAGAAGTCCAAGATCAAGGCACTGGCAGGTTTGGTTGTCTGATGAGGGCTGATCTCTGCTTCCAAGATGGTGAGACTCCACAGGGGAGACACAGAGCAGCCTCACATGGCGGAAAGGCAAGCAGTCTGAATGCTGATGGAGATACTTGGTCCTTCTTTTCATTCACAAGGGAGTGCCCCTCAAACCCCAGTGCTTAATACTATCACATGCACAACATCTGAATTTTGGATGGGACATTTTCAACACATAGCATTAATCAATCAAATATTCAGTACTACAATGCTCCATTCAGAGGACCGGCTTTCCAGCAGCCTCACAACCTTTAGAGAGATAGTCTCAGCCTTGAGTGCACATTCAAATCACCTGGGGAGCTATACCTATGTCCAAGCCCCACCCCCTGAGATTCTGATTTGTCATCTGTTTGGGGGTCTGACTCTTTTTCTCCTCCTCTTTTCACCACAAGCCCCTCACGTGATTCAAATATGTAGCTAGGGTTAAGAATCACTCCTTTCAAGTCTTTCTACATAAAGCCTGTTCCACAGACTAGCAGACCTCGCACCACCTAGGAGCTGGTTAGAAAAGCAGACTCTCAGGCACCACCCCAGACCTTCTGATTCACAATCTGCATTTTAACAAGTTCCCCAGGTAACTTACATGCACATTAAAGTTTGAGATGTCCTACTCTAACACAGAGGCTCTCAAAACTTGGTCCCCTGACCAGAGGTCTCAGATTACCTGTGAACTTTGGAATGTAAATTTTTGGCTTCACCCAAGAACTACACAGTCAGAAATTCTGAGGGTGGGGCCCAGCAAGCCGTCTTTTAACTGGCCCTGCAGGTGAAGTTGATGTATTCTCAAGTTTGAGACCCACTGCTCTGAAGCCCGACGCACAGCTCCACATTGTCATGAATCCAGACCCCCAAGCAGCAAGAGATGCTTATGAAAATAAGTACTTCAAAAGAGAAGGTGAAGTGATCCTCAGGCTCCCACGCAAACAATTATACATGAATCTCTTTATAATCCATAGGAATGGTTGGGGAGGAAGTAAAGAAGAAAGCAAGTAGCCTAGGGTCCCTTGGTATAGGGACAAATCCTAGGTTCCCTATACTCTTTAGAAGAGCACAAGCCAATAACTGATGTTCATAAAAATTTGTAAAACATTAAGCCCTTAAGTTGTGTCCTTTCACTACATTCTCAGTACTAAGAAGGCAACTAAGTTTACATTTTTAAAAATATTTCTATTGCAACATATTATGTTTCTTTCAAGTGAAGATTAACCACTTAGGACAGTCTAATGTTCCTAAAAATGTGGAAGGATCAGAAGAAAGCTTACATGAGGGTGGTGTGGTGGGACTTCAGACCATTCTCCAGGGCAGTTACTGTTACACTTTCTAAGGTCTTGCATTCTTCTGAGAGCTGGAGCAAAGCTATGACCCTTCTTCCTTTAAAATTTTCAGAATGTACAGAAAATTTTGCATGCAATATCAGAAGATTCAGGGACCCCAGGCCAATGTGTCTGATGTTGAGGGTATTCATTCTGCTGTGGGAAGCAGGCAGAAAGAGCAGAATGAGGCTCTTTGAGGGGTCAAAGGATTCAGACCCAGGCTGAATCCTGGCTTTCCCTCTAACCAGTTAAACCAGAGCCTCAGATGCCTCCCCTACAAAAAAGTAGCTGTAGGAAAGGCAGTTTTACTGTTGCCATTCTACAAATAAGGAAACTGAAATCTGGAGAAGTGGGAACTAGTCTAGGAGAGCCAGTGGCAAGGTCAGACTTGCAACCCTTTGAACTGGACCATCTGCTGCCCAGGAGGATGCAATGTTGTCTTTTAGACTCTCCAGTGCAGCCAGGCACACCGTTCCCGCCCCTACTGTCTAGCTCAGCCCTTCCCACCCTGAGAGCTCATCTCTTACACATCCAGATGAAGCCTGCTATCATGACCACTCGTCCTCTCTCCAGAAAAAGAGACCCATCTCTGCTTGCAAGCCTCATCCCGAGCCAGGAAGAGTTGGCCAATTCATCTGTTAAGCCTCAATGAATCCTGAACAGAATAAGCTCCTAAATCTGTGTCACTGTATTGCACTTACTCTGCTTAAACACCTGTTCCTACTACTAAAACAGGAACTCCTTGAGAGTAGGGACTGCCTGCGACTCATCTTTGCATCCCCAGAGTTAGCCTGTGAGCACCTAACGAACAAGGAAGGACGGGGAAGAAAATGGGAGGGAGGGAAGGCAGGCACCACTCTGGCCCTCGCAGGTAGTACTGTTTGGGGTCCTGATTCATAAGTAGCCTCTGGGACTTTGCAAGTGCTCCTTTACCCTGGTATTGTGTTTGCAGACAAGCCTGTCTCCGGGACTACATTTTAAGCCCTCTGATGGTGCAAAAGAGTTTCCCTACCTTTATGTAAGAAATACCAAGGGCTACGTTATATAGGCAACACAGTGAGTGGCCATGAGACCTTCCATTTTCCTGAAGAGTCA